ATTCGGGAGGTGTCATTTAACAGAAGAAAGGAGGGAGGGAGGGAGGGAGGGAGGGAGGGAGGGAGGGAGGGAACCAAGACTTGTGTTTTTTGATATGGCAGGTCCTTGCACAACGACAGCATTGATGCTGGGGTATGCCGCAGACAGCCACAGAGTTAGCGATTCCTGGACCCAAACTGCGCGACAGCAGGGGTGGCGTGCTCTCCGCACGCACCGTGAGATCGGAGTCTGCGGGCGGGTTTCGGGCGAAGCAGGGAGGCAACAAAACATGTCGTGTCCCTGCTCGGAAGCTTTTGCTGCCTGTCCGGAAGACAGAAGAGAAATGGGTGGGCGGAACCCAGCCAGCACAAACTCTGAATCTGGCCAGGCTGCATTCTCGCAGAGCTGCGGTCTTTGGGAGACCGTGCCCTTGGGGCGGCGGTCATAGCAAAGGGGCAAGTTGGCAGCAGTGGGGCCCAGAGGCCTAGAGTTCAGGTTTAGACGGCTTCGACATGGGTTCGGAAACATGATTTTATCGAGCCCAAGATGTGAAAGTGTTTAATTCAAGCAGAAGGCCCGAGCCTGCTGAACTAGAGCAGAAGGCCCGAACCATGTCGGCAGCAGATTCAGCGTTGCAGTGCGCATTTTGGCTGAAGTGACCGGTGCAGCAGACTCTCCAGCTGTCGAGGAGGCCTGCGCAAAGCGGACTGTTGACTATTGTTGCTTTGCATCGATCAAGGTACTACCGCGTGAAGTGTGGGCATGACGAGCACCCGATTGGTGCCTCCAAGTGCATCCTCGAGCAGATTGGTCGGACCAACGATAGGAGGCACTTCTGAAAGAGGGTTTTGCAGTGCGTGGGGCCTTGACGTCATGTGCAGGTTCTTCGTTGCAACACAAGACCCGGAGCTTCGTCAACAGTTGCGGGGCATCCCCGGTGTCCCCTTGATGAGGCTCGACAAAGAAGAGCGTTCAATACTTTGGCTGTAATCTACACCAAGTGTTGCAGGCTCAATGGCCCTGTGCCTCAGTTGGAGGAGCCTTCCGACTCCACGCGGCGCCTGGCAAGAGAGGGCGAAGAGAAGAAGCGCGAGCCCTCTGCATGGGAGAAGCCAAAACTTCCAGAGCTGAAGGCTGAGAGGGGCTGCCCCTGAAAGTGTGAGAGGGTCTCCGAAGCTTTCAAGAGCGAGACGTCTAGATTCTAGAGGTGCTTGATGGTGCTTCAGTGCTTCATGCATCTGCCTGATAGGCCAAAGAAGTTCTGAGAGAAGCCCTGGCCTCAAAGCCCAGGGCGAAGAGGAAGCAGAAAGGAGCGTGTGCTGTTGCAAGCTCTTGGATGGCTTCAGCCGGACTCGTGGTAGGAGTGAACCCACTCGCCTGCAAGAAGTCCATGAAGACCAAAGCAGGCTCCATGTGGAATGCGTTCCAATCGGATTGGGCTGCAGTCGGTGCTTGCTACCATGCCACACTTCATTCCTTCCCGAAAGCGCGAAAGAGAGGTTAGTAGCTGCATTCCACTCCTCTCACGCTCCGCAGGTGCAGTGCCATCAATGCCACCGAAGCAAATCCCCGCGGAGCCAACGGCAAAGCGTGTGCGCTCGCGGCGGATGGGTAACCGGAGCCGCGCGGAGGAGCCGAGCGCACAAAGCGTTTTCTCTTGTGCGCGGGCAAGTCACTTGCTTTCAGCTGTAACACTAAGTCTAAGTGCTACTAAGTACTGCACAGGTAGAGGCAGTGCTCGCCGCGTCCAAGGCCATTCCGTGCTTCCGGGAAGTCAGAAAGTCATATGGATGGTTGCAGGCTTCCCGCTAAACGGGATCGTTGGTGATGGGTAAACCCTTTCCATAATGTTTCAGGCAACGCCAGCTCAAGGGACGGCAGATGCAGCTGCGATGAAGAGAAAGCGCGGGCGCCGCTGAGGCGAAAGAGCAAGCGGCGCACCTGTAGGCTGGTTGGAGGTATCCTTTAAGGAGATCGGGTTTGAAGCTGTGCAATGAGCAATTTTGCTGTTCCGAATGCTGCCGATGCTGCCCAAACAGCAGAGCCAATGCAGCCAGGTGCATTTAATGGGGCTATGCCGCTGCAAAAGAGCAAACCCGAAGCAGCAGGGGTCGAACTTGCACACCTTCTGCCTGATGCGCGCATGGGCAGCAGCAGATGGCGAAGCGGAAGCGGCCAGGGAAGGCGGCTCAGCCCACGAAGACCCGCACCCAGCTCAACAATGCCAGGCCCGTGCGATTGCTTGCCTTTTGCTTGCTTTTCGATGCGCATCGCCTCGGTTCCATTGCGCTGCAAAGACCAGGAAGAGGGCCGCAAAGAAGCGAGCCAAGCAGCAAGCCAAGCTCGTCGACCCCTCCTTGGCGGGGTGCTCAGAACAGTGAGGAACTGCAGACACCTTGGGCCTTGGACCGGAGGTTTACATCCAGAATCCATTGGGTGCACCGACAGTGGTTCGAGCGAAGGGCTGGTTCGCAGACTTGGGCAAGAAGCTCTCGTTGCGACTCGGTCCTTTGGAAGGCGGGTCAGTCTCTATCGTGGTACTTCGTGGCGCTTCTGCTATTGCAGCATGCTGAGAGCAACATGCAAGGCTGGCGAACGTCGGCCAAGTTGGCGGTGCGTGCGTCGGGCGCTTCTGGCGCAAAGATCGGCCTTTTCGTGCCAAAGTCGCATGACGTGGTGCCGATCGACGGCTGTGCCGCTCATCACGCCTCCATCAACACAGCTCTGGAGGCCAACGAGTCTTTCAAGTAATATTGGGACTCAGCCGCGCAAAGCAGCAAGATGCTGCAAGGACAAGTGCAGCCCACGTCTCTTCCCTTCAGCTTCCTTTTGGCCCCTCTCAGAGGCGATCAGCACGGCATGCAAAGCTGCGAGAATTCGGGGATATGACGAAGACAAGGGAGAAGGCCTGGAGTTCGAGTTCTCTGAGCCTTCTTCTGCGGCTTTTCGTCTTCTCTTGAGGTGACCTGCGGTATGTGAAGCTGGAAGTGCAGCGCTCCAGCGAGCTGGTGCAGGTCACCCTCGTCTGGCATGCAAGCTCCCAGGAGGAGGCGGCTGGGTGGATTCATCGACGGGACTGCAGCACGTGGCATCGAATGACTTGAAAGGAATTGTACACAACGCGAGGCGGGAAAGCCGCTCCGGAAGCTCCTCACTGCACTCCAGCAGCACGAGCTGCCCGAGCCTTAGATCTAGGCGTAAAGTCTAGGTCACTAGACAAAAATGCTGGCAGAGTGGAATAATTACCAGCAAGACGGCTCCAAAAACCACTGTTCCAAAGCAATCATTCCGAGCAGTGCAAGATAGGTGAGTACATCACGAGTAAGATCCGGAGGACAGATTGCAGCGCAAGTAGGATCTGGAGGCAGGAGCTTGTGAGGTACCTCTTGCTGAGTGCAGCCGCTCTTCTCAGCCGAGGTGGTATTCCATCTGGGCAAACTTCCATGCTGCAGACAAGCATACCTCCCGCATTCTAGCCTTTGAAAAGGAGGTGCGGACATCTTCTTTCAGAATTTCTATTTAAGCGTGGTTTCTGGGTGTTTTTCGTGCAGCGCTGCCCAAGATAAGAAGTCAACTGGCCATGGTTCCAAAAGGTCTTCTCAAGTACAACCCAGTGCCATCGTAAGCTGTTTGCGATGATTCAACTGGGGTTTTTGCGGGTCTTTTGGCCAGAGGCCTGGGTTCAACTGGCCGGCCGCAAGCGCTGGCTGCGGGAGCCGCTGCAAAGGATCCCGCAAAGCTCCCATGACACCTGAAGCGACTGATGTAAGAGCCATGGGATTCTTTCGTATATTGCATGCGAGGAAGTCGAGGGATTTCTGTTCTTAGCGTAGTACAGGGTCATGACAGGCTGATCCACAAGGCTCGAGACAATGGCAATGTGTCTGCCAGGAGTGCCGTGCCCTATCACTGCGAGCTGTGCTTTCCACCCTTCGTCTTCCGTGACTTTGACCTAACAGAGAGCTTGAACGAAGCTCGTAGGGCTGATCTCGTTGATTTTGGTTGCAGGAAGGGTCGTGTGGGATGTCGTGCAGGCGTCAGAGATGACGATGATCATCGTCCATGGTGAAAAAGCGTATACTAGTTCACAGTGAGCCTGATACTTTCACAGTTTGCCTTCCATGGAGCTGAAAGACCTGCCGCCTGTGCCTCTGAGGCCAGGCGAATCTTTGTGCCTTTGAGCGGATCGTTTCGGCGGTTCGGCGCTTTGTGCCATTTGGCAGTGCTGTGGTAGAGACTTGGCAAGCAAGTTGGCTTCGGCAACTGGAGCCTGCCTGTGTCTGGGTTCATGTGGGTCTTTGCCCAGGAGCTTTACGCTGGCGTGGGTACAATCGGCCCCGCACCTCAGAAATGTGCTGGGCGAAATTGGATGACAGTCTCGGTTCAACGAAGAGGTTCGTGCCTTACCTGTTGACCCGCCTTTGCTTCGCCTAATTCGAGGCCTTCACCTGGCGGATGTAGCTGGACGAACTGGCATGGCATTACTCCTTTGCGCGTGCTGCCCTTGTGACTACAACTTCGTGCATTGAGTGGACAGGTTCTCTGGTTTGCAGCGACGAGAACCCATTCAACCGTGCATGCTTCCGTCGCAGTGTGCTGCCCAGTGGCCCGTGAAGTTGGGTGCTCTGCTGAGGGGTTGAGTTTGAGGTTTGAAGAGCTTGCCGCCGGACCTGCAGCCTCTCGGATGCACCGTTGCAGCCATCTCTTTCTTACAGAGCATCGTGAGCATGGGTCGTTGCATGATGCCCTGGCTTGGCTCGAGTCGTGCGAAGTTCCGGCACAAGCCATCTTCGAGTGCTACTCGTAGCAGGGGATGGCGCATTGCTCTGTGGGCACCGCCGGGAGACTCGCAGCTGGGCAGCTTCCCGAAGGTTCTCACTTCGACGACCCGGCATCCTGGCAGCAGTGGCAGAGTTTGGCATTTGCTGCACAAGAACGCCGGAGCGTTTCAGGTCTGCCGCGAGCTCGTGAGCAAGATCAATTTAAGCAAGGAGCCACAGGGCGAGCTTTTCCAAAAAGCCGAAGCCGTAACTTGCTACGGCAACCTTTTCTTGTGAGGAACATGTGGCACGGTGCAGGGAGCAGCTGCAAGATATGGCCTGGAAGCTGCAAGGTCACAAGCACGACCTTCAATTGCTTCGCATCACGGATGCTGGGTTTAATACGGCTTCAGAGCAAAACATTTTTACTCGAATTGTTTTCGTGTGGGGTCAGTGAAGCTCAGGGTGGTTCGAAGATTGCCGATTGCAACATGATGGCAGAAGAAGCGCGCAAATTGAGCCTAGAGGATGCGCAGTCTGTTTGAGCATAGATGCATTTGCTTGACAGAGCTAGAGATTGTCGGCTTCGATAAGTGGGCGGGCATATTGTGAGCGGGAGGAGCAAAACCTCGGCGAGGAAGTCGAGCGATTGAAGCAAGCACTTGAGCGAGCAGAGTGGCTTCGTTCTGCATGATATGTTGTAGGCGCAGGGGGGGCTGGTCAGTGCAAGCAGTGACTAGGTAGCACGTATTGTTGAGATCCGAGGTCTGAGGCCAGAGCCTTGCATGCCGATGAGGACTCTTTGCCGATCGATCTTGTGCTGCTGCGGCCTTAGAGGCCTTAGATTCTGAGATGCGCCAAGCAGAATGCTGGCAGCTGGCAGTCTGCAGCCCGTGTGAAGACCTCTGAGGCCTCGCCGCCTGGGCAAGCTTCAGGAAGGATCCCGGCGCTGGGAGGCGCTATGCTGCATTTTGCCCATTCTGCCCCTTGCAGCAAAGGATGTCGAGAGCTTCAAGCGACACGCGCACGAAGGATCTGATCCAATTCCGCCAGGGCCGGGCGGACGAGCTTCGCAAGGAGGCCGGGGACGGGAGCAATACCGCAGCCGCTTTCGATGACGACGATGACAGCAATGACGAGGATGATAAGGATGATGCTGGTGGTGCAGCCGTGGTGTTAGTTCTGGCATGTTCTGGCGACAGTGATGAGCAGTGATGGTCATGTCATGTCATCATCCAGCTGACGTCGACAAACTTGGCAGAAGCGACGAACAGGCACGGCTGGTTCTCTGGTTCAAGCGCCGGTTCCTGCCCTGTCGGAGGCCTTGACTATGGAGCTTCGCAACGAAGTCTTTCGTTCACGAGCCACGGCGTTGCAGCAGGAAGCAGCCGCTAAGCAGCCCAAAGCAGCCCAATTGCGGCCTTCGGCCTGAGCTGAGCCTGGGAGCACCGAGGCCCGGCTGCGCCTGCTCCGCTGCAAGGCCGCCGAGGCCCTGGCCGTTGCCAAGGCTCTCGGGAACGCGGCGTCACGGTCATGCCATGACACATCCCTTAGCCCTCAGCCTTTTTTTAACATTTGTTCGGTTTCGGCATGCCCAAACGGCATTCAGACATATTCAGACTCTGAGTTCCCAGCTCACACCGGGATGTAGTGGGAACTGACAGGAGGAGGTGCGCTGGGCGCAGAGGTGCAGGCACCGTGATTCGCTACCTTCGTGGGCGCTCCACATGAGTGCAAGGGCGCGTGAGAAGTCATTGAGGTCAAGGCCTGAAATCTGAAATGCTTCCCAGGCGGTACGCGTTCTTTCTGCCGATGCTATCCTCATTCTTGACTTCGCTCTGGTGGTGTTATGGGTGACCCGCTATGGGAGCAGTCGGATCATCACGATCAACCGCCGAAATCAGTAATCTTGGTGACGACACAAAAACACGCCTCGCAAGTCTTTTGACTTGCTGTGTTGGCAATGGAAATGTTGCCAGATGTGGCCAGTTGTGCCACACTGTGCTTTCTCTGGCTCGGGAATCTTCCGTTCTGGCAAGTCGAATTTCTGCAATGTCTTGTGGGAAGGCTGAAAGCTTCCTCGACTCCAACATTGACCTAGTTGTGGTGCCAGCGTTTGGCACGAGATGAATTAATGGCATCGCTCCTGCAGATGGAGTGAGTGAACTCTCACTCCACCGCCATCTCTTTTTGCATGACCCATGGGCAGAGCAAGAGATTCAAAAGGTGACAGCTTCTCTGTGTTCCCGTTGTTCCCCATCCTGTAATTATCAGTAGCCCGAATGGCGTGCAGCCCAGGCAGAAGCTGGGCTATGTATCAGGCGATGCAGCCTCGCAGGAGGGGTGTCTGCAAGACATTTCGGGGTGTTTGACTAGATTCAGAGGTGTGGAAGTGTGGACCTTAGCCAGTAAGTGCCGTTCAGTGCGGTTCGTGGGAGATCGCAGCCTGGTCAGGTTGACAGCATTCCAACGGCTGACGTTGTTATTGTCGACCCTCCCCGAAAGTGTTACCCTCAGAAGGAGAAGAAACAGCCAAGCTTTCTGCGACTGAATCCTGGGCTGACAGGGGCATGGAGGACACGGTGTTAGATGCTCTCACGCGACCGTGCCGGGCTCAAGGTTTCAAGGGCATCAGCAGCCTCGGGGCGCCTCTGGTTAAGGCCGAAGAGAAAGTCGGTGAAGCCGTACCGTCTCATTTACGTCTCCCTCTAAGTTGATCGCCTGCAGTGATTCGGTTCAGATCATGTATCCGTTGGTGCAGAGGGGCGCAAACTGAACTGGGCTTTGGCCCAGGTCAGTTGCGGATTTCCAGCCTTTTGCCGCGATGCTGAGAAGCTGATGCAGCATGGCTGGACCGCCAGATTCCTACGGGGTGTTCACGCTGATTGCAAGTCTGCAATCGGATGCCCAAAAGGTCCTCCACGCCGAAGGCTTCGTGCTTTTCCCCGGTTCGGACCGGTCACCGCTCCGTGTGTGGGATGCCTCTTATGCTGACAGAATGGCAGAATGCACTTCCAAACCCTGCAGGATCATCTTGAGACGTTCTGCGTCTTCGAAAGGACCTGAGCGAAGAGCGCCATCCAAGGCAGCAGAGTTGGAGAGGGCCCTGCGAAGCCATGCGAAACCGCTGAGCTTTTGAGCCTCGAGACTGTGTGCTCTCTGTGCTTGCAGACGGAGTGGTGTTCGCTAGCTCTGGTCACAGCAGTTCCGCAGCAGAGGCCGGGCTCGTGTGCTTCTCCACGTCTTGCAGCGTCTTGCCTTGCATGAAAGGCCTGCAGCTGCCAGTCTTGCCGAGTCCGTTGGCTCAAGGTTTGACTCTGGATTCTGAGATACTGACACCTTGTGGCCTCCTTTTCTAAGTGATCATATAGAACCACCACAGCTGACAGATTCGAAGAGACCTGTGTCCTGGCCATGGCCTGGGAGGTGGTCGGCGGTGGGGACAAGGGTGGCATCCTGGTCCGAAGCGGCCAGGCCACCAGCAGCGACCAGCTTTCGGAGCGGCTCAGCACCGGGGCTCGGGTGGAGGACTGGACGGGTTCGTTTTTTTTCCCCAGCTTCCGCCAACGCTTCCCCTTGCACTGACACAAGCACACACTGGTACCACGACGGGGTTTGGGGGAGAGCAGCTTCCGGTACTTCTCGGGCCTTCTAACTTCGGATTTGGGATATCTTGGAGCGGAAATCCCGCTCCTTCTCACGTTTTGTGCTCACGATGCAACGGCTCAGCGTCTTTAAAGCCTTGGCAGCGACCACAGTTCTCGCACTTCGGTTGATGTCGGTGTGGTCGAAATCCCGCCGTGCGAAGAGTTTTGGACTTTTCAGCGCTCGTTTCGTCCCGTTTCTTGTGACGGCAGTTCGTAGCGGCTCGGTTCTTGCCGTTCTTTTCGGTTTTAAAGTCTTCATGCAATGCAACATCTTGGCATCGAAAGGGAACGCCTGCACGGCTGCCAAGATCTTCACATGGACGTAACATGGACAGGTTCGGTCTGAGATGAGGCGTTGAGGAGGTTTTGCGATGGTTCTGTTGAGGAGCTGGAGCTGGTGGGCGAAAGGCTGCACTACAAGCTCGTCTCGGGTACCGGCCCGGCAGAGGGCTGGGTTAGCCTCTCCCTGAAGGACAAGCCCTTGCTGCAGCGCGTTGGTGAGAAGCCGAAGGGCGACGTCGATGTTGGCGACCTCCGAGAGGGCGACTACTATGTGACCCTAGGAATCCTCTTCAAGAAGCTGGGGACGGATCCTGAAAAGGCCTCGCTCACCAAGCTGAAGCGCAGCGTGGGATCCGTGGTGCACACCACCGGAAAGGTCTGGAGAGGTTCGGGTGGTGGCTACTGGGTAGAGCTGGATACAAGCTCGGGCGATTCGGGTGCTGGCGAGAAGCCCGGCTACGTGATGATTGACGCAAGCGGCTTCGGAACACCCGGCCCGTGTCTGCAGAAGGCCTCGAAAGAAGATGGGCCGATTCTCCTTCTAAAGGCCAAGCCCAAGCCGGGATCGGAAGTGAAAGCCTGGGACGATGGGAGCCTGGACAAGGAGTTTCTCGTGCTGTCGAAGACTACCATCACAGAGGTGAGGGTCATCCTGGGCATGTTGTTCAAGATTGCCAAGTCCGAGAGTATCACGGTGCTGTCAAAGGATGGCGGCCAACTTGCCCCGGAAACGAAAGTCGGCGAGGCCGGCTTCCGAAGTGGCGACGATTGTGCCTTCGAGCACTCGGAAGGCAAACCGATGAGGCTCGTGGTCATGAGCCCCCTGGAGGAGGGCGTGAAGCTCACAGACCTCGACATCAAGAACGACTGGACTGTAGGCCGGATCAGGGAATTTGGCTTGTCCTTGCTTTAGAGAAGAGTGAGTGTTTTGTTGTTGGCGTGTGCAGGACAGGTCCGGAAACTCCTGTGCAGCATCACCGGCTTGAAGGAGTCCAGCATGATTATGGCTCGGGGGAAGATGGGTGAGCGTGTCGGCGAGGACGCCCAGCTAAACTTGTCGCACCTGGTAGCGGACTGTGGCTACAAGGAGGGGGATGAGATCGGATTTATTTACATGGGCGATACGGAAGGTGACCTCAAGGCCTTTCTCGCAAAGCAGTAGATCTCTCGGTGTTTGACAAGCGCTTCCCCGGCAACACACGCCATTCTGGCTGCGCCACTGCATTGTGGCAGCGCCTCGTTGTTTGTCTCCGTGGCATTCTGAGCTATGGAGTTGCATCTTGAAGGTCTTGGTGATGAGAGGTCAGAAGCCGGCTGTGTTTCCCACAACCGGCGGCTCAACCATGTGGAGACTTGATATATACTTTTGGATTCCATAGCGGTCGTGACAGGCCAATTGTGCCAGGCGCGATCGATTGATTACCAAGACATTACCGGAACCCTGCCCAACAAAAGTGAGAGTTCTGCACATGCTGCCACGAAGAGTTGACACTAACCAGGCCATCAAGCAATTTGAGTCATGACATGCCCACGCTACTGTCATAGAATGTGACAGACATTGAACAAGAGGAGGCGACGTTGACACGGTGATGCATGATACTGTTGCGTGCATTGTAGTTGCTGCCAGGTGCGAGTTCCATGCGTCGCTGGCCAGTGAACTCCCGCTAGCTCATGTCCTGGATTGACGCTTGGTGTCTTCTGCAGCCTCTGTCCAAAATTATCGATGCTGTGCCTGCATCATGTCGCCAGTGCCCCGGGTCGAGGGAACCTTTGTCATGAATCACGAGGGAGCAAGATAGAATTATGTATAAAGGTCTGCATCCCCTAGGATTCTGTCGCCCTCACCTCTCCGAACACTTAAGTTTGCTTGTGAAGTGTATCCACATTATTTCTGCACGCAGTGTGTGCGAGCACACCTGGGTTCTTATGTCAGGTCTGTTAGCGTTTCCACGAGGTGTCTGCATAGGCGCATGCGGACATTTTTTCCCCTTATAGTTTGCGAAAGTTTGCGCTCATGTCGCATCATCTGCACAGTCCCGGTGCGGCCGCGTCCTTCGGCACGCATCGATTGTTGCTTTCCAATTTCCAAACGCTCGAACTGCTCAAGCTGTTAGCAGCTACATTATTCGGCTGGTAGACCATGGTAGACCCCTAAATCCCGCCAGTAACATGGGGGGAACCGTTTTGGGGGGTATTGCCCTCCAAACTTTCGAGTTTCAGATCCCATCAGGGCCACACAGTGATGCTGCTGGGCGTTGTTTTCCACGGTCCCGAGCTTCGACAAATCGTCCGACCGCCACAGTAACATTTTGCTTTCGCCTCGTGTTTCCGCCATGGCCATTTTCGGTGAAACTCCACGTCCGTGTGCAAAATCGTGCTCCTGTCCCACGCACTTTTCGCCTTTTCGCTTCCCTCAAAACGTTGCAAGGTGGTTCAAGTCCTTGTAGCCTAGCCGGGCTCCCAATCCCCCAGCAACTGAGGGGGGAATGACTCAGGCTGGGCTGTGCAGCATGAGTATGTTCTGGTCACAACCTTTGAAACCAATCAAAGTAAAATCTATCAGAGATCCTTTGGCAATTTCGGGTTGAGAATACCACCTGAGGATGTGGATGAGGTAGCTGGTTATTGCTGTACTGTCTTGGTACTGGTGAAGTAATCGTGATATATGGGCGAGTTATAGGGGGCGGAGTATGCAATGATCTTCAAATGGGGTGACTGATGGTGTTATCACCCAAGATGGGCAGGGGTTCGGCCAACTGTGTGACAAAGAGATTAGCGTGCAAAGTGTCTGCTCATCACTTTACAAAGGAGTTCTCGCAAGCGAAGGCCTACAACTTTCTACGCAAGCATTTCGCGCAAGCTAGCTCGATGGACAAAAAATGCACGGACGTAAATATGCCCGGAATTGCCTGACACTGCGCATTTCTTGGCTCCCTACCCATCCGGCCAAGCCTCTAAATGAATATTGCCATAGCCTTTGAGCACCTCTCCTCGTTCCGTCAACAGCTTCTGCGAACTCCCCACCCATGTTTGGGACGACACAACGTAAGAAGGCCCGCGCAGGGTAGCGACGTCTGCAGTTGCTGCTTTCAGGCTTTGCAATCCATTCAACCTTCGTTGTCGTCGTAGTGGCAGCAGCAGCAGCAGCCGCATTTAGTAGTAGCAGTAGTAGCAGTAGTAGTAGTAGTAGTAGTAGTAGTAGTAGCAGTTGTAGCAGTGAAGTAGTAGTAACAGTAGTAGTGGTTAGTAGCTAGTAGTAATTCGTACTCATCGTCGTAGTAGTAGTAGTAGTAGTAGTAGTAGTAGCAGTAGTAGCAGTAGCAGCAGCAGTAGTAGAAGTAGTAGTGGTAGTGGTAGTGGTAAGTAGAACGGGTTTTGGGGCATAGGCATACCTACAGACACATATGGGTGCAGGTAAACGATAAAGTAGTGTGTTTGTGTGTGTGTGTGTAGTAGTAGTAGTAGTAGTAGTAGTAGTAGTAGTGGTAGTAGTAGTAGTACAAGTAAGTAGTAGTACAAGTACTAGTACAAGTACTAGTACTAGTACTTGTACTGGTACTAGTACTAGTACTAGTACTAGTACTAGTACTACTACTACTACTACTACTACTACTAAAAAACTACTACTACTACTGCTACTACTACTACTGTTGCTATTATTACTACTACTACTACTACTACTACCACTACCACTAGCACTACCACTACCACTACGACTACGACTACCATTAGCACCACCACTACCACTACTACTTCTACTACTGCTGCTAGCTACTAACCACTACTACTGCTACTACTACTACTACTACTACAACTACTTCTACTGCTTCTAATGCCACTGCTGCTACTACTACTACTACTACTACTACTGCTACTCACCACCAGTACTTACTATTACTACGACTACGACGACGACTACTACAACCACCACTACTACTACTACTACTACTACTACTACTGCCACTGCTGCTACTTACTACTACTACTACTGCTACTACTACTACTACTACTGCTGCTACTACTACTACTACTACTGCTGCTACTACTACTACTACTACTACTACTACTACTACTACATACTATCACAGTACTACTACGGCAACGACTACTACTGCTACTACTACGACAACGACTACTACTACTACTACTACTATTACTACTACTACTACTACTACTACTACTACTGCTACTGCTACTGCCACTGCTACTGCTACTGCTACTGCTACTGCTAGACACTCTACCTCTACTACTACTACTACTACTACTACTACTACTACTACTGCTGCTAGTACAATCACCACCACCACCACCACTACTTCTACTACTGCTACTACTACTACTACTACTACTACTACTGCTACTACTGCTCCTGCTGCTGCTGCTGCTCCACTGCTGCTCCCACTACGACGACGGTGACGACGACTGCTACTTACGGCTACTACTGTTACTACTTATGATTGTTTGTGTTTGTGGTTGTCGTCGTCGTATCATGTGTGTTTTGGCTGCTTGGGCGCACATGAACATGGCCCTATTGAATTATGCCGCCAGGTTCATATGAAGGCAAGCTGAATTCCAGATGTGCCAGATTTTGATCGGCCTGGTAGGGTTAGCACATGAGCAGTTACTTTGTTACTTCCCGAATGCATTCGGCATTGTGCAGTGATTTTTCCTTGCCATGTGCATGGTGCAGCTCCGAGAGGCAGTAGAGTCGACACTGGACTTGTAGCTGCCGCGTCCACATGGACCGCTGGCTCCGACCTGATGGCAGAGAAGGCTTGAGTGTAATAGATTCCAATGACAGCAGCATGGACAATAGCGCCGAGGCGAGCAAGTAGCTCCAGGGCAGTGCTGAATACGTCGTAGTGCTATATGCTAATTTTGCTCCTACGCATCATCATGTTTTGTACACAAGTTCAGGCAGTATCAGGCAGTATCAGATATGTCCATTGTCAGAGAACTGCGTGTCATTTTGTGCTGGTGGGTTCTCGGTTGCCGTTGCCCCTGCAGGACAAACGATGGCTGAAACTCACCAGGCTTGAAGCTGCCATCTTAGCCGGTCTGCCGGCCTCTCAGGGAAGCAAGGGTCTAACTCCAAATGCATCCCTGACTCCAAAGATTAGACTCCCAAATTCGGTGTCCGAGGATTCTCCTACTGTGCCTCCCATGGACGGTGTTTCTGTACGCTGGGACGGACCCAGCTGTCTCCTCACAACAAACCAGCGCGAAGGCAAGGCCAATAAAATGCGCGGTGCACACCATGAAATTCCGCCCCAAACGTCCCAGCCATAAATAGCGGAGTCACCTGTGAAACTCCCACTCATTTCGGCCTGTTGCATCTCCAATCCACCGCTCCCCTGAGATGGGTCTATACAAAGAACGCAAGGCCTCGCGCAAGGGGCTCAGTGCCGCGGTGGTCAAAGATTGCACCATGGCAACTGCAGCTTTGTTCGGCACAGCAGGACAACTCTGTCGCGATTTCAGCGCCGGTTCTCCTGATCGGGTTGGAAGATGCTGAGGGCGCTCACCGGGCAAAGTTGCTGCTGCTGCTGGTGCGTCGAAGCCGAAGAAGTGCGCCAAGCGTTCACACCTTCACACCAGCTTCACGTGCTGACATGAGCGACAATGGTCGTGGTGTATGGCACACAAGGGCGGATAAAGGCAGCAGATGTTTGTATACGTACAGTTCGATGGATATGCAAAATGAGCATACTTTTTACGTAATCCACGGACTCATCTCTAGTTAAAGCACTACAATCGGCCTTCAACGTGGCAGTTGCCTGCGCCAGGCCGCCGCGACAAAAAAGGAAGGGGCGGCCGCTAAAAATGAAAGCAAGGTGTCCCCGGGATCGTTTCAGAGGTTGAGCTTCAAGCGATTCCAGGGTCGGCCTGTCGTCGGTGTGGGCCTTACGACTCAGCGGTTGGGACTATGCATACATGACACACCAAAAAATACTGCCATCTTGAAGCAAGAGCCGTGGAGACGTACAGTAGTGAAGTAAAGACATCGTAGGCTTTCAATGCACGCGTGTGACCCATACCCGCTGCTTCAGCCCTTCAGCCGAAACTCGGAATCCCACTCGCAGCTCTGAGCACCAACAGTCCAGCAAAACCGAAATGCCCCTGGCCTTGAGCCCTATGCCTATGCGTCTTCTTTGCCCGAAACACCAGGAAGGCCGCTCAACGCCGACTTCCTCAGTCAAGGCCGGCACCGGGCCCGCGACGCTGGGCGAGCCAGAAGACTTTGTTCCGGTTTTGGCATGTAAGCTTTCGGCATTTCATTGTTGTTATTGATTGCACGAGATTTGATGTGATGGACTTGTGTGCTGAGCTGCAGGTTTGATTGACGTTGATCTCAGGACGTGATCTTTGAGAAGGCCGCAGTGGCTTCTGTCAGCGAGCGCTCGGGGCCGACCGGGTGCTCGCACGAGCTTGACAAGGCGAGGTCAATGCCGCGACGGCCCCTCGAATGGGCGAGCTCCGCATCGTGGACACGAAGCATCGGGAAACCTCAGCGGTAGTGAGGAGGAGATTACCACTAAGTAGCCCTGTCGTACATGCGGCTTGCCGTGCCACGAGCAAAAAGTACTGCTCGTACGGGATTTGGACCTGCAATGTTCTCGCTGTGGTGCGCCATCGTACAAGCAACCACATGGTCTTCACTTGGCCGAGGGCCGTAGCAAAGTTTCATGAAAGGTGGATGCATTCGACAAATGCATGGACGGGCTACCACAGCCCCCCTGTACATTCGGCATTTGATAGCCCGAGATGCGGAGACAATAGAGTCTCAATAGAGGACACTGGCACCTATTCAACCTAGCCGACAGATGCAGCATGAAATCTTGCTGCGGCCTCATGAGGAGGCATACATCAAGGAGACCAGAAGCAAGTTCTAAGACACAATGCTGGGATCAATGCTGTGTGACAACGCTTCAGCCTTTGTGCTTCTGCAGGAGCACAAGTTGGATCTGAAGCGATTCCAGGGCATGGATCTGGTATTCGAAGCGCGCATGCGCTTCCTGGAGATGTCGCGGCCTCGAGCCGCAAGGAAAGCTCAAACTAGGGATGCCTCGAGGTCTCACAGGCACTGCCAAAGTAGAGCGAACCTTAGCAACAGTGAATCTGACGCATTGTGGTGCATGATGTGGCGAAAGCTTCTCGCAAGTCCAAGCAATGCTCTCGCCGAGGCCTCCGGATGAGCGCGCCAAGCTCTGCCCTGGATGGTTGGAGGAGTCTGTTGCTGCCTTTTCGGGATATGCTGGACACTGTCGTGGCTTAGACTTCGCCTTTCAGCGTGTAGCACCGATGGAGGGGAAGTGTTGCGAGCCCGTCCCTGGTTGCATCGCTGCATCACGTTTCGCAACAGGTCACGCTTCGTCCATGACATGTTGGTTTGATCTCTAGCAGTCTAGCAGGCCTTGTGATGAGGGCCCCAATGCTTGGGCCTTGAGTGTATTTCTGATCCTGAGTTTTTTTTCGTTGAGGTCCCTTCCTTTGCCTCCACGCTGCGGAAGTCTTGCTTTTGTTTGATATTGCGAGGTTGCTATGGACCCGTGCAGAGATTCTTTTTCAACCTTGGGTGTCTTTTCCAGCCCCAGCCGTGTTTGCCGACTTTCTTGTGACTCTTTACTCTGACCTTCTATCTTGACAAACCGCAAGAACATCGGCATGGGCACACATGAATTTTCCAAGCATGTCTTAATAAAGCCTTTGGAAAAGTGAGGACAAAGCAGAAATCAGCAGAATCTCGTCCTTCCCCATGCAAACAGCTGCCTGTCTATCGGCGGCGCGGCACCGGCATTTGGATGTTATGTTATGGGAAGATGGTTGTATGAAGACCGGAGGTGTTTGCCGGCCTCACTATTAGCGATACAAAAAGCAGAAGCGGCAAAGCGATAGTCACATGTACGTTCTGTCTCTGGAGTCCGCTTCTCCGTCTTCGTTTGTGAAGCCGGCCCGCTGACGAAGCCAGACCAGCCACATTGCAGCCACGTGAATACCCAACCTAGCCAAAAGCTTCGGTGCCGATGTTTCTGAAGCAAGCGCGAAGTGAACTCATCTTCAAAAGCCGGCCTTGCATGAGCCCACGTTCAAGACTGCACCAGGAATGGCAGCTTAACGTACACCCCTGCAAAGGGGATCGACCAGTCGAGAGCAGTGGCCTTTCGTTCATCGTGGCCTTTCGTTCATCTGCGAAAATGTTGATGACTCGATGCCACAAGACATCCATGGAGCTGCATTCTGACTGTGATGTATCTTTCTTCCATGAGCTCGGGCTGCTTGCATGATTGCGGATTGCAGGAAGACCAACCGTTTCCTGGCCAAGCATCAAGCGAGGGACGGGTGATTGCATCCAAATGACTGGAGACACTTTGCAGTCTCAGGCTTTGGCAGGAAGGTTCTATCCCGCTGTCATCCGTGTGCCTTCGCTGCACATCTTCGCCTTCGTCGCAAGTTGCAAAGCCTGGCCTCAGCTTTCCGAGGATCGACGAGGCGCGGCCTGCGTCTCCTTTTCCTGCTCAAGCACCAGTGGTACCTCTGCCGGTGTCTGAGTTTGGGAACGCCATCGTTATGTGCCCTCTTTCAAGTCGCGGCTCGCCGGCGATGTGCAGATTCATGATGCGACCGGAAAGCCTTGTATATAGTTGTACTAGCCTAGACTTTCATATTATGCTGTCATCTTCCAGTCAGGTACGTATCGTCATATACAACAGCAGCTTACAGCAGCTTGCCAGAACCCACCGATGTATTCAATAAATTGCCGTAGTGTACAGCAGTAGGCCGCAGACCACAATACAGAACATACCAGCATGATTCAGCGAACTTCAAAATGCCACCATGGTATATAATGACACATGTAAAACAGTGATGGGCTAGACAACAAAACAACCATGGCAAAGAGCAGTGTGCAATAGATTACAACATGCAACGTTCATGCCGACACCTGGAAAGTTCTCCAAACAAGGCCGGCCCTCGAAGATGCACCGCCGGGCGGCGCCTCGTCCGTGGCCTCTGCGCGCGGGGACGCTGGGGAGTCGGGGGCCTGGTTACATTGTGGGCTGCAGGATTTCTAGCTTTGGGGATTGCTGTGTCGGGCGCAGGCCTGCCAGTTTAGGCGAGTTGTTACAGCAAGTCACTCCAAGGGGTCGGCAATGTTCAATGTCACGCCGGGCCACTAGCGTGATCCAGAGGGCAGAGAGAAAGCACGCTAGACTCTTTCAGTGTGTGATGTTGTGCATCCATCCTCTCAGCAAAGATCTAGCCTTTCCTCACTCCGCCGCCCTCCAACCCTAGCCCCAAACGTAAGTCTGATTCGAATGTCCAGTTCCATCCAGTTCCCGTTACCTTGAGCTTTCTCAGAGCTGATGTCAGGCAGCAACTTCGGGTTTAGAGAAGTTAGGGACGAAGGGGTTTAGGGTTCAGAGACTTTAGTTTCTGGGGACTTAGGGTAGTGTGGCATGGTTTGTATCTCCATGCCTCGTCAGAAAGTTGATTTTCTTCAACAGTTCTCACACACACACACATACGGTGGCAGCAACAAGTTTGGTTTTGTTGCACCAGCCTTTTAATGCGCTACATACCCACAAGCACGGAAACAAAGGACTGTTTGAAAGCAACTTTGGTGGTCCTCGTCAACGCTAAACCCCTGCCTCTCTTCACCAGTCAGGCCCGGTGAGGAGCCTGCACCGGAGCCCGGCTCAGCCGGTGCCGAAAACGAAAGGAGTCTCGGAGGATGATTTGGAAGGTTTGGGGGTCCAGGCTTCCGCTAAACATAGTTTGGGGTACTGGCTTGTTGAGGCCTTCGTCTTATTCTTGGGACTAACAGGACGCGAGGTTGCGGTACAGAGAGCACCGCTGCCCTTCCAATTGAGAGTATCTTGGGGCTTGGCGATGAAGCAGGTGCCGATTAATTTGCTGACATACCTACCGTCTGCCACCGATAGCAGTGCCGACCCCGTCATGGGCCGCATGTCGATATCTCGGAGAATCACTGTGCCTACGGTCTAAGTAACTGTGGAAGGTGGAGTTTGTCACCGGGCAACCCAGACCCGAATCTCTTCGCCAGAGCAGGGCCTGGAATTATGCAAACAGGAACGTCTGAACGGTGGTCAAATCCTGCAGGGCCGGCCCATCAGAAACCTTGGAGCCTGTGCACCAACGTTCATGGTTGCATGGCCGTTGATGCTGAGCACGATGCCGTCTAGCTCAGTACGTTCCAGTTGTCGGAACGGCGCCTCTGGGCGTGCTGCAGCGAGCGCTAGGCATAACACACGACGCAACACAGGGCAATATCTTCTGTCGGTATTCCATGCACTGTCAGCCGCAACGTACATGAGCAGGCCCATCATGGGCTGCCAGCAGCAGCAGCGGCGGTAGCCACAGCAGCAGCAGCCGCGCCGGCGGCAGCAGCAGCAGCAGTAATGCAGCCACAACCGCAACGGCAACGACAACGACAACCGCAACGGTAAGAGCAACGGCGACAACACGGAAGGAACCGAAACAGGAGCCCCAACAGCAATTGCAGCCTTCTTTTTCTTCCTTGTTGAAGGATCTGAAGGAGACAAATTCTCTCCTAGATTGCTCCTGGTCTTGACAGGGGAGACGGAGGGGCGAGTTGCGGCCCCCCTTCTGTTTTTCTTGCCGGGGGGCGTGGGGGTGGTCTGCTTGTTGTTTCCAAGACGAGACAAGACCTGATGCTGCATCTAAAGGCGGGGTGTTGTTGTGCTTGCTGTTAAACAAACTGCCAAGCCATGTCAATTGCAAAGCTTTTTGTTCCCTTCAATGGTTCTGGAATTTACGCATTGCCATGGTTTGTTTAGTGGGGTCCAGGTATCTTGGCAGCGTACAAATTTCACGGAGTTTGCCGTTATGTCCTCAATTGTTACACCTTGAGCCCTAAGCCTTGCATTCGAAAGAAACATGGCTTCAGATTTAATTGGTTCGAGGGTCTATCTTTGAGGTCAACGAGCGCTCTGGCTTCGGGGTGCTGAGGCTGAGGCTTAGAGTAGGAGGGTTAGCGCTTCAAACTTTGGGTTGGGGTATACAGCAAGGTGCAAAAAACAAACACCCCTCCCGGATTCCGTGTCACAACTGAGTCACAACTGATCGTGGAACCGCATTCTGGCTCATTGGTCTGACCCACTCGCCGGAAACGAGATTGTTGATTCCAGCCCTGTAGAAGAACAAATTCTGGTTCCCCGTGTTGTCACTCTGATTCTTGTCGTATACGACGCGGAACAATTTTGTTTCTGCTAACAGCAACAACAGCAACCACATCTGCTGCCGCCGTTGCTTCCGCCGCTGCGGCACTCAGCGATAGTGACGATTCAGAGGAATGAGGCATGTGGTGGAGACGATGGAACTGTAGTGCTTTTGACATTGATATTTGTGGTGATGATGGCAGCGTGGCTGTCGGCCCTTCTTTCTGACTCGTGTGCCGAGGATTGAGAGACGCGCAGGGCCTGCAGCATTAGCTTCCACGAATGCCGACTTCTCGGTGTGGTAGAATGAAGCCATGGATGCCAGCTGGAGCATTTGCATTTGTTCGGAGCAGCCGAATTCAGGTCATGTCTGACTTGGAGGCAGTGCAGGACGTTCTGAACTCAGCGCTGAAGCGCAGATTGCAGCCTACAGATGATGTGAGTTTTTACTGCACTGCGAGTGCCATCCCGGCAGGTCCGCAGCATCCTGGAGGCAGCGGGAGGTGCCAAGTGACCTGATCCTAGCTTTTGCTCGGGATCTGCCCTTGGTGGAGTGCCTGTCTTCGCATGTCTCACCAGCAGGCAAAACGCTTGCCTTTCCTGCATGAGCATAAACTCCGGAAAGGCCTTGAATGACGCTCAAATGCAAGAGAGACAGAGAGCGAGAGAGAGAGAGAGAGAGAGAGAGAGAGCGCAAGAGAGAGAGAGAGAGAGAGAGAGAGTGGAGAGGGGCCTGGGCCCGGGTCTGATTGCAGACCTGTCCCCAACGGAAGGAAGGAAGAGTGGAGAAAGCCCACTGGAAGAATAGTGGAGAGCGCCTTCTCTTTGGCTGTGTGCAAGAAGTGGAGACGGAAAGCTGGACTCCGGCCCGTGGCAGGAAGAAAGAAAGGAAGGAAGGCAGCAAGGAAGAGAGAAAGAGACAGGGACAACAGCGTGAAATTTGGCTTTAAGCCTTCAGCATGCAAGAGAGAAGCTGTCGGGGGCAACCCTCCCTCTAGCCTCTAGCCCAACGAAAGACGACAGTGTCTGACCCATGTCCCCAGGTCCAAGTCTTTACCTGGCTACTTGTGTTGCAGACGCCGTTGTTTGGGAAGGGTGCATTCTGCCCCTGACATAGGTTTCGCGCCGACGTCGTGGCACATGCACATCAGAAAGAAAGAGAGGAAGAAAGCACAGACAGAAATGAATTCCGAGATTTATCAACTCGACGAGCAGGACATGGCAGAGACAGACACCCAACTACTAGCTTCTTCTTGCATGAGCTGTTCCGCAGAAGTTTCAAGCATGCAAGACAAGTTGGCAGACTGCTGGTTGTGGGCGTGAGCTATTCCAAACTTCTTCATCACGACATATCACGACCAGTGGCAAGCCTGGCAAGCTCTTAAGTGGCCGTCGTAGTCACATCAAGAAGGCAACATGTTGCAAGGGCGTGAGGTGTTTCTCCTGGGCTGCGCAGTTCTCGGTGCCTCCCTGGCCCTTGTGGAGCACCGCCGGCGTCGAAGGAGTGAGGAGGACGCCGCGCGGAGCCGGAAACTGCGGGAGGAGGAGCGCACGGGCCGCATCCGCGCAGAGCAGGAGCTTCGGCAGCGAGAACGTCCTGACGGTGCGGCCCTTGCCCTCCAAGCCGACCAAAAGCCATTTCTTTTCCACCCCATTGGAACCTTTCAGTCCTGCTATCGGCAGCGATGTGGTACTCCACGTCAGAGCAATTTGGTCGCTGGAAGCTTAGCTGTCCTGCGCTGCGTGAGGGATTTGAACCCCAAAGCAGCATTGGAAGGCCTGGCAGGCTTTAGCCACGTTTGGGTTCTCTATGTCTTCCACGACAACACGAACATGCTCAAGGAGTCCAAGACCGTATCACAACGCAAGCAGAAGCAGGGACGGGTGCCGCTTTGGCAGGGCCTGTGCATGAAGGTAGCGCCTCCTCGTTGCCCCGAGTTGCGCGTTGGGGTGATGGCCTGCCGCACGCCACACCGGCCCAACCCCATAGGCTTGTCCTTGGCACGAGTGGTGGAGGTGGACCAGGAAAGGGGCAGGCTGGTTCTGGCGGGCCTAGACGTCCTGGACGGAACGCCGTGCCTTGACATCAAGCCTTATCTGCCGAGCTTCGAATCGCTTCCAGCTGCTTGGGTCCCCGATTGGGTGCAGAAGTCCTACGACGAACCCATGATGGAGGTGACCTGGCATGAGGCTGCTGTCATTCAGTTTTCCGACATGTTCAGTACGTCTCCCTATTCCGTACCTCTTTGGCCTTTCAAGTCGAAAGAAGAGCTTCGGACCGCCATCATGGACACGCTGGCCATGGACATTCGTTCGCCTTTGCAGAAACAACGCCATCCAAATCCCGGACAAGGGAAGGAAGGGAAGGACGAGCCGTTCTTCAGCGGCGACCTTTGGTTCCACGAGCTGCGCATCCTTTACTCCCTGCTGCCAGCAACGGCTGGCGAGGCCCTTGCACGAGTGTGTATTGATGAAGTCTTGCACAGGGATCGAAACGCCCGTGGTGCGTTTCGGTAGCGCAGCACGCCGCTGGGATCAGATCAGAAGCTGAGGTCACACTCATGCTTTTTTTTATCAGCTTGGCTCGAAGGGCAGAGCTAAGACCCGTGCGTGCCTTCTCCCTTAGAGAGGCGGGGAGCTGCAGAGGTCCCACGTTCAGGCGGTCCGAGCTCTGAGGTAAATTCAGGCAGCTTCAGGCCTGCCCAAAGTGCCTCCACCAGATCTCAACGCAAGTCTAAGTCTAAGTGAAGCTATTCTGCCACACTGGCTCTGGAAGTTTGGAGGCTCCGCGCCGGCTCAGCATGAGCTCGTCCAAGGTGCGGGGCTTCCGTAGAATCTGACCTAGATGCATCGAGATCTTGACACTCCATCAAAACTGTCTTTTTCAGCTGAAAGGAATAGAAATTGGCCAGAGTTGTTCATGATGCTGATGCTTGTAGTTTCGGTTTCCGCCGTGGCCTGCGGAACTCGGTGTCGTTCGGAAGTTGGACTTGATGCTTGCTGTTTTCCGAGTGAAAGGCCACTGGTGTGCCCGCCGTATGGCAGTGACCTGTCGAGGTTTCTGGAAACATGGAGAGGCTAGGCAAGCACTCGACACCCATCAGAGTTGCAGTTCCCTTCGAGAAACCTAGAAGTGAGGTTACAACCGAAACCTTTCTGGGCATGATGTTGTGAGGAATCGGGGCCGGGAGGATCTCCCGCAAGTTAGCAGAAAGGAACAGTTGGTGAATAGTCGTCCTTGCAGGAGAAGTTCCCGGCCATTGTGAAATGGCTTCCGGTTTCCTGGCAGAAGAAGTACCTCAAGATCAAACCGTCGTCGACTGAGAGGTCGCCGCCAACGTGTGAAGCTGGAGCTTTGAGACTCGAACAGAACGGAAGACTCGTGCAGCTTGCTTTGCCATTGGTGACACATGGTCGTGCCGTCTCGAGTCTGAGGTGGTTCCCATGGAACTTCCACGTGAAGGCTAAGCCAGTCCGGCCCCCAGCATCTGGCTGCTGACCATGCGATGCGCTGGCAGCAGAGGAGTGGGGTAGCTATCCTTGAGATCCAAAACAGATGCCACGGTAAATCGGGACTCATCTTCAACTCAAGGGTTGCCTCCTTTAAGTCTGCAAGGTAACTTGCAGCAACTGCAAGAAAGATGCAGAGGTGTACTGTGCCTGGCCCCAAGCTTTGGAAAGGCACTTCTGCGTTGCGGACAGCATGGTTGCCGTGGCTTGTTTGACTGTGGGCTTTTTTAGGTTTTCGGTTTATCATCTTTGTCTTGGTCTTGGTCTCTAACTTGGTACCGGGCTTCGCACAAGCTTCTGCACGCGTACTCCATGCCGATAATATCCCAGGGATTGTTTGGATTTTGGCGTCCAGCCGCAGTCTCGCTAGGCAAGTGAGGGCTGAAACAACAGTCTGCATAGAATGGCGAAGGTCGACTGCAAGAGAGAGCTGTGCAAGTTCTGCGCTACGCTGTTGCACCACCCCGACACGAAGGCGCTGCGTGGTTTGGTTTCATGTTCTGAGCACAGCTGTGCCCACCATTATCAACGGAAATTAGCAGATGTCATCAGCTTCTGTGTTGTTCATGGGTATCTTTGGACAGCATGATCATCCCCAAACCAATCCGATGAGCAGTGCACGGACTCCAGGGGTAGACTCTTCGAGTACTGCAGCTCCGGTGATCATTCTCTTCGAAAGGGCAACAGCACTGACAATTATTTTAATGCAGTGGTGATCGTAGCTATACTGAGCAGCAGCAGCAGCAGCAGTAGTAGTAGTAATAATAGTAGTACTAGCAGCAGGAGTAGCAGTAGTACTAGTAGTAGCACTAGTAGTCGTCGTCGTAGTAGTAGTAGTAGTAGTAGTAGCAGCAGCAGCAGCAGAAGCAGCAGTAGTAGTAGTAGTAGTAGTAGTCTTAGCAGTAGTAGTAGTAGTAGTAGTAGTAGGCGCCCCCCCCCCCTACCAACTACACTTGCTTAAAACCATGTTAAGAGCACATCCGTTTTACTCGGTATTTACGGCACTTTCGGCATGTATGATCATCAAAAGAGGCCTCGAAATCCACTTGCCGAGTTTGCTAACTCGACCTCTTGATTTTGGACTTTTTTCTTGGGTGGGTGGGGGGGGGGGGGGGGGGGGG